AAGTGAATGAAATCTCATAAAGATTGAAAGTTTGAAACTATATATCACACTTCCTTCTGAATTCTGACATATCAATAAAATAACTTTAACTGTGTAAAATGATGGTTGTTACTTAAATTTGAAACCATGTTTTATTTTGCGACAAATATTTCTCTCAAGTTGAATTTTTTATTTTTTGGGTTGATTTGTATTTTTTTTTTTTAAATTTCTCGATATATTTCATTAGGAGTTGGTTACATCATAAAAAAAAAAGAAAATTACAGTCTTCGGTCATGAACCAAGAAGGTATAAAGAGAAAAGAGAAAGAAAACTTTTACACTAGAGGTTGAGTACCTCTGAACCACAAGTCTAGGGAGTCAAAAAACGATGTTCTCTCTCTACGAGCAATACACGAATTTCGGACACCCCTATCCACCTTTTGAACAAGATCTCCGCCGGGACAGGCCTGTTGTTAAATATGCGATCATTCCGTTTCTTCCAAAGGTCGTAGATAATCTCCTGAGCCATAATAAGCAGCCGTAAACTGTTCTTTGGTGCGTTTGGGTAACTTCTCTTCAACCATCGTTCAAATACAGACCAAGTTCAAAACCCAATATAAGGAGCACCAAGTTTACGAAAACCCAATCTCCACACATCTTGACTATAAGGGCAATTGAAAAGGAAATGATCTCTTGTCTCATTTTATATCTCACAAAGGACACAAGTACTATAATCAATGACTTCCCAATTGCGTAATCTAGATCGAGTAGCAAGCCTATCCAGACAAGCTAACCATAAAGTAAATGCATGTTTAGGAATATGGCCAGAAAACCATACCTCTTTGTGCCACTGGACTTCGGTGAAGGAAGCAGCCAACTGTTGTCTTACTTTGGAGAACTTGAAGCAGTCTTTTTGAGGGCCAACCCCATCTCTCCATCTGTATTTGTCCTTAGTACTCTCCGAAATATGAATGGTTGTCAAGTGGGATAACAAAGAAACCATATTCTCACTTCTAGCCCCTCTGAAATTCCAACCATTGTGTGTAGCAACTTGAGAGACCTTAGAGTGAATGAGAACTCCATAGATTCTTGGTCCGTCTTGTCCAATATAAGA